TATTATTGTGATAATTTATTTTTTATTTTTATCATTATGTTTATCATTATTATTATTATCAAAATCATTATTAAAATTTGCTTTAATTTCCAATATTATTATCACATCTCTGTCTCAGTTCCTCACACTGCAAGCTTTCCTTGGAGAGAACGAAGACATAAGGGAGGAATTGTGACAGAAACATCTTAGATGGAGAGACAGATGGTGAGAGGTGGTGACTGTTGAGGGAACCCTGCACTGATCAGGGGTGAGTGGTTGGTTGTTGTTGTTGTTGTTGTTGTTGTTGTTTTTGTCATGTTGTTGTTGTTGTTGTTGTTGTTGTTTTTGTCATGTTGTTGTTGTGATATTGTTGTTTTTGTAGTTGTTGTTGTTGTTGTGATGTTGTGATGTTGTTGTTGTTGTGATGTTGTTGTTGTTGTTGTTGTTGTTGTTGTTGTTGTTGTTGTTGTTGTTGTTGTGATGTTGTTGTTGTTGTGTTGTTGTTGTTGTTGTTGTTGTTGTTGTTGTTGCTGTTGTTACTGCTGTTTTTGTTGTTTTTGTGCTGGTGGTTGGAGGGCACGATGGTAGGTTGTGCTTCTTTACTGTCCACTCTGTTCTTTCTGGTGGGTGGTTGGCCGGTGCTCAGGTGTGGTTTGCTTCTTCTTTCCTATCAAACATATATCGTCCTTATCTCTCCTCCTTCTTTTTTGGTTTATTACTCTCTTGTAACACCTCTAATCTTAATGTGTTGCAAGTGCCGTAAATCTCTTACTGAAACTAACTGTTGCAAGGACCTTACTATAACCTCCTTGGTCTACCCCAGCCTCGTTTGCCCCCTGATTTTCCAGCGATAGCAAGATATTCAGAAGCCCTCACCAAGTGACCCCAGGGCTGTGCTACTGACTGAAGTCTTTAGGCCATTCCCAAAGGGGGAAGGGGGGGGGGTGTACAGTAGAATTGTAAATGGGCTGATTTAATCAGTGTAATGTTCATACTGTGCCGGAACAACATAGGGGAAACTGGTTCTTTCTCATTCCTCATCCTAACCGTTGTCATTTTCCCCTCTACTTCTGTTGTATGTTTGTCACTCTCTTGTGGCCAGCAGTTTCAGCAGACTTTGTGCTGTTGAAGCGAGAGAGGTGAGAAGAGTAAGCCTGATTCCCTTTAAAAACATCCACCCCTTGGCGCTCATATGACCTTTTTGGCACGTCAAAACTTCGCATTTTGGTCCATATATTCAAAAATCATAAATTCTTCTTATGGCTGCATTTTACAGAAAATAAATGAGTTTCATCTGGTCATTCTGGGATTAATGTGTTGATGATAAAACTCATTCCTACCAGGGTGATCGGAGAAAACGCATTCTTTTTATTTGTTTGTTTGTCTTCAGCTAAAATTCGATAAATTTGGTATAATCATGGTAAATGAGGTATATCTTCCTGTGGGATAGTCAAACAAAAACATCGTTCCCATTTGTTTGTTTAATTAGCTAAAAACACTAAATCGCCTTTATCTCGAAAAAATTATTTTGAGAAGAATGCGTTTAATCAGATCACGGCAGTTATGCAGTTGCGAGCACCGTAAAACCTTACTTAAACAAACGAAACACTTGCCCATTTATATGAGATTCACGCCATCTGATTGGTAGAAAAAGGTGCACATAATAATGTTCAAATTTGTATTACGTTCATATTTATTATGACACGTAACTGTTACAGATAGAGATTCAATGATTATAGATGAAAATAATTAATTTGAGAACAATGACGATCTTAGAAATAGTAGAGGTGATGAGTGATGATCTGGGATTGCGTTTAAGTAATGTTATCGTAAGTCCTATCTTCCTCTGATCCAATGAGTCACGAGGGACATGGACACCCTCTATCCCGTTCCCTACTGGAACCATCTTTACGGACCTCTTACTAAACCTCCTTGGTCTACCCCAGCCTCGTTTGTTCACTGCTTTTCCTGCGAGAGCAAGATGTTCAGACGCTCTTAATCACCCCTTCACCAAGCACCACAGTATTGATTCTCCACCCCCACCTTCCCTCCCACCTCTGACCCCCATCCTAATTTTACACCACTCCTACCTCACACCAACCTCCCCCTTCTCTCCCTCACTGTGAGCAAATGACCATCGTCCAGACACTGCTGCAAACCCCCTACCCTCCGGTCACCCCC